GAATTCAACAAGAATCTAATTTTACAGAAATAAACGTATAAACGAGTAGTGTTTTTATTTTCAATGTTTTTTTCTGTTTTCTTGTATATTTCTGTCCATCCTTTTGTCTAGCAAAGGGTGTATTTAATAATAAATAAGAAATTAGAAATAAACAAGCGAGAACAATACGGGATAATTACCACGGAGAAATGAGGAAACCACTGTAACACGCCTCCGGTTAACAGATTTGAAGAAAGGAATAAAGAATCGAAAGTAAAGCAAAGGGACCGAGGGTTCGTGTCCACACCGCGGACACAAAGACGAAAATGGAGAATGGTATGGTGACTTCAACAGAAGAACCGTAATAATAGAAGGTAATGGTTGCTGCGTGGACCCCGTCTTGATCCTTGGGTAATATCGTGGCCAATCAGATCGTTTGAATATTTACATGCCTTTTAGCAAGTTGTTTCTGGATTCACTTCAATTTCTGGAATCGATTCGAAACTCTAAATCTCCGATGTTCACAGTTAAACAGATTTTTTCAATGTAAATTATAGATAGGAAACGAATCGCTTCTGTTGGTTTTGGAAATTGTACAGATGCTTCTAACGATTTTATCACGTGTTTTCTCATTGTTCTGCAGTTACATAATTTTCACAGCGTTACTTGCTCTAATTGGTGAATATTGAACACAATTAATCGCTGATCTAAACAAGCGATCGCTTAAAGTGCTTATATCCATGCGTTTCGTGTAATTCACGGTGTCATTCATCGGTTTCCTCCAAATATCCATTCACGCGAACGCCCCTGCGGTGGCGACGATGAAATAACAGTGATCAAATCGTGATTACTGTGAATCTCCGGCAAATTACAAGCTGACAATCTGGTATACGCATTTCTAATATTTTAAGTGAAGATATCTATTAAGAGTAAATTTACTTAAATATACTTTTGTAACAAGAACCTAAGAAAGCTAATGTAATATTGAAATCTAATGTACAATAACAGTATCAATATTAAAAACTAATGTAATAGTAAATATAAATAAAAAAGTTTATTGAATAGAAATACGAGGAATTAATTTAATTCATCTTCCTCGATTAACGAATTTCTATAGAACACGCGAATCACATTTTTCGAATAAAATAGGAAGTCGAATTCCCAGGGACCAATAAAGGAACAAGAATAGATAAAAAGAAGCACCCTCGTAGGTGAAACGATCCTTTCAACCCCGTGTATCGTCGGTGAATGCGCGTGGTCACTGGCCATCGCGTCGCTTAAGTACTTACCACGTCGATAGGCTCACTGTTGTTCGATATTTGCGAACGTCTGGCATTTACAATTGCAAATAATAGCTTCGGAAGTGTTGAAAAATATTCTATCAAAATTCTACATCTATAGATAATTTTAAAGTCGCAATATTATTACAAACTGTCATCTTTCACTCAAGTTTTTCTGCTTTAACCTCGTTGGGCATCGAAAATTAAATGCGTTCGCAAGAAACGCAAGTTTAGAATTCTATAATTATCTAATCTATATTATATTCAACTCTATAATTGTCTCTTCTATGTACCTATCCTATATCACATTCAATTCTAGAATTGATGATCATATCCTTCATTAGAATCTCTGTTACCGTCGTGCTGTTATTAAAAACGATCGCCACTGCGTATCTCATGCGACTGGCTTAAGAGTTAACAAACAACATTTAACCACCGGCTGTTATTATGTAAATCTAATCCTCCGGCGATGCGAAATTTTCATTCAACACTTACAATGCTCATCTCCGGGTGGGATTATTCTCTGTGGAACATGAAAGAATGAAAAGAAATTGTATGTACGCGCATTTTAAATATTCGCGTGCCCGCGTATGGAACGCGCCGCGCACGGATTCGAGGTGCACGTGATCTAGGGGTAATGAATAGGTGGATCAGAAGTATAATTTCGCGTGCAACTATATTTTCAGCGAGTGTAACGTGTGTATACCTGGCTCCGCGCGTATCCGCGGCAAGTAAAAAACGAAACAGTGGATGCTTCAAAAAGTAAGTGGTAATTAACCCATTTTTCTAATGCATTCTGATATCCGGCCGCGTGCGTATTCATTCCGCTCGTTTCTTTGTGGGGACGTTCCTTTGTCGAATTTCGCCACGGATTATACTCGAAGAAGGGAAATCTATCAACCCGTTACCACTAATATCATCATTCGAACGCTTGTGTCTTTTGATGGTTGTTTGTTGACGATGCTTCCTAGATTACAGGGAAATGAACCGAACGCTGTGTAATTGAGATATTAAAATATCTCAGGGGATTGTTGAAAACGTAAATAATTCGAATATTTTAGAAACTACGATTGTAGTGTACTTCCGTGGATATTAAGGGTTGACTTTTAATGCTGTTCGATTATTTAGTAGAACTACCAGGTGCATCGAGATCACTCGTTTCAGATTTGTTTCTGTTATATTTGTTGCGTGGATACTTGTAGATGATTCTCTGAGAAATTATCGAGTAGATTAATCCTTGAGGGAATTAAAGTAAATGAATTATAAGGAAATTACAAGCGTTTGTTCGATGGTTTGGTTGTTCCACTGTTAACCCTTTCCACTGGAGAAGCGACTCTCAGTCGCCACTCGATTTGGTGCAGCAAAATGAAATACAACATAGTTTACAACAACTTAGTTTTAAAAAACCTCGTTCATGCGTCATCATAAAATATTAACAGTTCCTATCGCAAAAAGTCAATGCACAACAAAATTCAACGCATCAAGATCAAACTTCCACGAGCCCCACGCCTCCAAAAATCTCCGATCTCTCGCTACGAACACCTCGTCGCCACCCTCACCCCACAAACAGCAACAGCAACAACAACAACAACAACGTCACCAACAAAAGCATCAGAAACACGTCGCATCAATAAATGCGATTAATCGCGACAAGAGCGAAACAAAAATACTTGGCTTATATATCTAGATCATTAAAATGGCGTGAGTGAAAAGAAGAAAGAAGGGTGACGTGGGAAAAGAGGGGAGGAAAAAGCGTGTGAGGAAGAGAGACAGACAGACAGGCGAGCGAGAGATAGAGAGAAACAAGTAGAGAGATAGAAAGAGAGAGAGAGGGGCAGGGAGAGAGAGAGAGAGAGCGAGAGAGAGAGAGAGAGAGAAAGCGTCGTCCAGGAAGAAAGGCTGGTCGGACAATCACAGAGAAAATCAGATGGAAAGGGAAAAAGAGAAATACAGCGTAGCGAAGAGAAAGGCTCCGTAGAGGAGACGAGCATAGAACGGCAACGGTAGAAAAAGCGAGAGCAAGAGAGAACTGTACTCAGTGCATGCAATCTTTTTAATTATGAAAACACGGCTTTGTGTTTCATTTTGTTTTGTCGTCAGGGGCGCTATTCTATTCGGGCCCTTCTCCTTCCTCATCCGGCTGCCTCTTCCTTTTTTTTCTCCTTCTCCCTCTCCCTCTCTCTCTCTCACTCTCTCACTCTCCCTCTCTCTTTCTCTTTTTTTTTATATTATAACGCGCGCGCGCGCCCGCGCACTCACTCTGCAGCCCTGCTGGATAGGCTTCGCCGAGGGTGGGAGGGGCGGAGGAGAAGGGGGCAGAGATAGGGCAGGGTGAGATTGCTTTAGTAATGAATTACATGGCTTCGGGGTATGTGCCTCTGTCTGATGCGCTATACGAATACCAAGCATCACTTTCTGCCTTACGCTACGCTACTCCTACACCGTCCTCGTGCTTCTTCCACCCTTTTTCCCTACCCCTTGTACCTTTTTTCCTTTCTTACCTCTTCGATTTTCTTTCTTCTTCTTCTTCTTCTTCTTCTTCTTCTGCTGCTGCTGCTGCTGCTGCTGGTGGTTCTTGTTTTTCTTCGTCTTCTGCTTCCTCTTCCGGGTTTGCAGTAAGCTGTACACTTTTATGCCTCTTCCGCGTCCTTTACTATTTAGCACGTCGATGGATATGTTACCGGGGAGGTGTGAGATGTTTCGGTTTCTTCAGGGAACCAGGAAGCTTGGAGGATTGTTTTTGTTTTTGTTTTGGAAAGCTGCACAGGAAAATTCGAGGTTATTGGTATTTTATTTTGTAAGCTTGGTGGAGCTGGTAGATTTTTATCTTATTTCGCTTGTGCGAGGATTCTTATTCGGTACAGTTTGAGGGTATTGTTATGTTATTTCTGATTCGGTGCGTTACCGTGGGTTTCTAGCTTGTAGAGTGGTAAGATTCAAAATTGTGTTTTTGGTTCCTGAACCGAAGGAATGACGGTTATGGAACAATCTATGGTAGCAGTTCCTTAGTCCAGGATCCTTGCGTAGATTAGAGATATTTTATTGTGCCTAATTACGTTTCACCTTTGCTACTACAATCTCGAGCCTTAAAAACATTGCTCGCGCGAGGACGTCAAAATTCAGGCAACGTCAGAATTTTAATTTCAATGAGGATGTTAGAGGCAACAATCTAAAATTCTTCAGAATCCATAAACACCTGTATACCGAGTAACAAACAAAACCTATTCCATCTAGAAACACTCAGCAAGCATCGTCCCAAAGGAGACAGAAAAATACCATCGCGTTACCAGTAAATCCGATAAACATCAGAAACACAGCTCAACCCTGCAGCCGACAACACGAAGAAACAAAGTTCCAGGAGCCCAAAACAACGAAAACAACAGCGTTACGTCAGAAAACAAGAAAATTGTATACAACGAAAAAACAAACACAAAGTAAGAGAATTACGAAGCGTGCGTGCGTGCGTGCGTGCGTGCGCGAGCGCGCGCGCTCCCGAAAGCGAGGGAAAATCTTGAAAAGCCGAAAATTAAGTACCATCCCTCTCCGGAGGAAAAATTCTGCGCGGTACGATTTAGTGAATTTTCCACAAGAGGGGTGTGTACTTATCTCCATGGAAGTAGCGCCGCCCCTAAAACCGCCCGGCCAATCGGACGGCGCGCAGCCGACCCCCGTTTCGCCGCGAAACACGGGGCTGATCGAGGGTGAACTCGCGAAAGGAGACTTCAGTTTCCTCGGCGTCGTCCTATCGGGAACGATAAAACGACCACCTGGTCTCCGCCGGTGACAGATACGATACGGAAAATTAACACGCAGAAAGGGAAACACAGGGAACGCGGAAGAAACGGACAAGACAGAAGTTTCGCCATACAGCACACAGGCTTCGAAGGGATGGCAGGCCCGTATCTCTCACCCCTAGGCCCTCAGGCTGACCTGCTCACCGAATACATGTTCGGAAGACGTCGTCAGGTCAGTGTACGTTTCCCTTTCGTATCTTTTTCTTTTCCTTTCTCGGCTAACTTGCGATTCCGCGAGGATAAGAAGACTCGGGGGTGGCAGTGGGTTACGCGCGTTATCCTGTCTTTCCCTCGCATCGCTTGCACCCTGTCCGACCGCCGTTTCTTCTTGGGTATCGAGCCTTGAGATTGTAAATTGCAGTTACTCGTAGCATCGAATTAATCGGTTGATTAACTGTACGGAGGTTCTACTTGTAAGGGATGCTACCGAACCCCGAAGTGCTAAACATTATGGAACTTTGTGTGTTAGTAGAGTAAGTCAAGTTTAATGGATCGCAATTCTTTCTGTGTCGAATTTCACTTTGAAAGGCTGGTTTCGCGAAGGAACATTGCAATGTATTAGGCTTGAGTTACTTTACTTACAAGTTCTTAATTCGAGTTTCCGGGTTTAATAACTTCCCTTGTTCTTTTTGATCTTGTGGAGTTTTGATAATACGTTATTTGTACGAGTTTGTTGTGTAACTTTGTTATTGGTAAACAAATAAAATTTTTGAAATTCTAACGGTTCTTTTAGTGTTTGTTTGTTTAAAGAGGTAATGTGGGAAGATATTGTGTGACGAATTTAATCGGTGGGGTGGTTTTATTTGGATTAACGTAGGTATGTGTGTACGATAGATGTTTGTGAAAATATGTTGGTTTATTTGCTACTTAATTGTAAAGTTGTGAGTTGGTTGTGCGAAGCATGCTTCTTTTAAAATATTGCAAGCGTGATATTGAATAGACGTTCTTCTTCGTTCGGAATATTAATTATGTGGGGAGTGAATAATAAGAAAAATTTTGAAAGATAAACTTAGAGTAATATTGTGTGTAACGATATAAAAATATTGGGTAGATTCTTGACGTAGTCTTCGTTTACGAAGAACGACCTATTTCTTGTGTTCTTGTTTAATGACTTTATGTAACTATGATGCCAGTTTCATTTTAATTTATACGATATTAAACTGTGTCAATCTATTTAACTTTGGTTTTCAAGTTGCAAAAATTTCAGTAGAATATTTACAAAGATTAATTTTATTATTAATTAATAGTAATCATAATTTTATCTGATGATACAACCTCATTACTGAAAAGCGCAATTATTCTATTAATAAACCATTGTTTATTTTTATCTGATTGCATGTGTATAGAAAGTATTGGTAATAACGTTAGCGGCTAATAATGTAAAAAAGTATAAAACTTTTTCCAACCGATAAACTTGCCTGATTCAATACGAGAATTTCTCTATAACAAACGAATAAAAATATATTTAACAATTTTGTTAATATTCCATGGAACTTCGATAATCATGTTTTCCATCATTCGAAACGAAATTTCCGCTAGTCTGATTGATTGAATTGCGCGACGAATCAGATCGTCTCACAAATACCTTCTGCAACGTATGACAAAAACTTTACTAAATAATAATAACAAACATCGTGATACCTTCGTATTATCATAATTATTAACTGTACTAGATAATATGACAATATCAAATAGCAACAAATAAACTGCACCAAAATAATTTCTACTGCTACATCACTTTTTTTTATATATATTTTCGTAATTTATCGTATAAAATATTAATTTATCAATTCGATTAAAATAAAATTTCAAAGAAAACAATATAACGTGACAGAATAAAAGTTCGTGAAATATTGTGTCAATTAACATGAAATTGACATCAAATGTTTATTTATAACGCGATGACAATGATCATGCAGATTTCTTCATAATAAATTTATCTACAGTAGATTTCTTTTTAATAAATGTATCTATAGTAAAATATATTCTAATGAACTATTCTACTTTGCTTTACGTTGGTGTCGAGGACACATTCGGTTGCTCTAATTAATTTTCGTGAATTCTGTTTAAGCAGAGACGCAATCGGACAACTTTTACGCCGCAACAGCTGCAAGAACTGGAATCCCTCTTCCAGAAGACACACTATCCAGACGTTTTCCTAAGGGAAGAAGTCGCCCTCAGAATTTCACTCTCAGAAGCCCGGGTTCAGGTTAATATGCATAATTTTCCCTTCCACCCTGTATCACGATAACAATTTCTGTCATGTTTCTTTTTATAGTCGGACTCGCGATTCTTGTAACATATTATTCCAAAGAAATATATTTTCGAACAGACACAGCTCCACTTCACTGTGCATTCAAATAGATTTCAATATCATGCAAAATCCCTATTTCTTTGTCTAAGTATGAAATGAATGAATGAACGAATTAGTCTTTTGTTTTATCTTCTACCTTCAAACATTAGATGTGCCAGATTTCACTCGCTATTCTGGTAAAGTGGTAATGTTGACAACAATGGCACAATCACTGAAGCTGTCTTTTCTAAAAAAATAATGGGCCAGTTATTAGTACGCATCCAGTACACTCTTCATTGTACAGTGCAACTTTTAAATTTAACATTGTTTAATTTAAAATCTTTCTGTTGTGTCCTAACTTCGCGTTTCATTCGTCGGTCGTAAGAAATCCAAAGAATTCATGGAACTATTGGAAAAGCTGTATTTCAAATGCATGTTGTGCAATTAAATGTTTAAGCAGATATAAAAGAATTACGAAGTTTACACGATTTTTCCTTAGAAGTTGAAATCGCAAAAAAGAATCCCGTTGATTAGAATTCAGCCGCATGTTCAGTTTAACGGTGTTAATTACGGGTATCCGGTTAATGGTAATTCGCGCTGGTTAAATGTGAAATCCAGAGTAAGTAATTAACCACCAATCAGTTTGACGAGCATGCGAATACTAAACAAAACGGATTGAAACGAAAACGATATGCGGCATAGCTGTTTGCACACACCGGCACGCGCGCAGGCCATGATTGCGGTATTTAACTCTAACATTAGTACCTGGGTACCCTAGCACACATTTTTATACTTCCCCGAAATTCGTTATACTCTTAGAAAAATCTGACAAAATTACTATCGATCTCCATCTAGAATATTTTTACGTCGATTTCCGCCTTGAAAATAAAAGATTTGTACAAAAATATAGTAACATTCGTTTGTATAATTTTTAATATCCCCGATGCTCTTAAACGCTTTGAAGACTAGGAAACATAGAAACAAAAACCTCGAGAAGAATTAGATGTTTCCACGGATTATCACGTTTTTGTTTCTCGTTGTAGCCGATAAAGATTTCTGCGAAAGGGTTGGCTTCAGTTCTTAAACAAGATGTTCCTCTTAAACAAACGCGGCGCTTTAAGTCTCGGGGGTTTCCAATTTCGGAAGTTTGGAGAGGAACCTTGTAAAGTTTCGGATTCGAGAATATAGAAATTAGTAGATGCGGTGCTTTCACTGCTCGGAAAGTTATGATAAATCGAGGCTTCCGGGTGTAAGCAGAGTCCAATAGGAATGACCCAACGTTTCGCCATCATTGCAACTGGCTTCATCAAAGGTCCAAGACGCACTGATATTGGCGTGTATCCAGGAAGACGTTCTTGATACAATACTCGTGCCCGTATTCCGATTCAGCGATCAGCAATAGTTTCCCTCTGCTGCCTAAATTCGATAAAATACAGTACTGCTCACGCGACAGTTAATCAAGATCTTCCTAGATGCCAGCGCATTTTGCACCCCTTACTTCGATAATACCGAAACATTGGGAAGACGCTCCTATTAAACACGGCTTACAGCTACAGCCTCGATTCATCGTAATATAGAAATTAGTTTCGAAATTGTCCCTTGGGAGAGGTCACGGTAAAAGGCCGAGCCTTTGTGATTGTAGGTTTGGTTTCAAAATCGGCGAGCAAAATGGCGGAAGCAGGCCCGCCTGCAGTTGCTTCAGGACGCATGGAGAATGCGATGTTTGGGATTAGGGAGCGCAGCGCCGTTGCTCCTAAGGCCGCCCCCAACCGCATCCTTGGAGCGTCCAGACGCAGCGACGCCGCCACCACCACCGCCCCCACCACCGCCATCCACCGCCGCCGCCGCTGGCAACCCACCGCCCCTGACATCGGCCAACACTGACAAAATACCCGCTACCCCACCTCTGTCCGTTTGCAGGGATTACAGGATCCTCCCGCCCCCGCATGGGTAACTAAATTCCGAATCTTTCTGTTCATTTCTGTTCGACCCTTCGCGCCCGGGGGCTGTGCACCTTCGCATTACACCGGAGTTTCGTAGCGGTAAATTGTAATTTATCGCGGGAAATTCTGGATGACGTTTTAGGCTGATACACTAATATAGCACGAATCTCGTTTAAATTGTTACCTATGTTTTCAATTGTTTCTCGCATAGAGGCTCGTTTAATTATTCTTCTTATATGTATTTACTTTGATAAATATCTGTTTTTCTTAGGTATTAATCGTATTTGTGATGTAATAGTTCTTTGAGAAAAGTGGGTCATCTCTGGCTGACTGACTTACTCTGCTTGACAAAATGGAACGTTAACGTTTCTTACGGATGAATTTATTGAGGAAACTCCTTGGTATGATCGATCGTTAACTCCATTCGTATGAGTGAAACTGTGTTGAGAATTTCGTTCGGAAAAAGGAACTCTATAGGAACTCTAACAGTGCACTGAGATTTCAACTGACTTTACAGTCTGCATATCGGTAAATCAGTTTCTTTAGCAATTCCTCGGAGAGGCTTCGATTATGTTTCGAATAATTATGAAAGACTTCGGAAGTCGGTCAATTGGATTATAATTAAATCTGTAATCATTCAATGAAACGTCGGATTGCAGAATTCGAAGTAAACCGTCATGAAGTTGGGTTGAAATCTTTGTAAAGCTTCGTCGGAGGAAGTTAAATTGTACACTGCACTGCTAAATCATTAGAGAAGAAGATTATATACTGATCCTTTGTTGTTCGAGCGATATTCATTCAACGGATAACAAAACGTGAAATTAATGTTTCAGATATTCACTATCCTGCGAGAAGTCGCCGGACAGATTGAAATGCGGTTGCGGCTCACCGCCGAGGATATGTGCCAGCCCAGTGGAAAGAGACGCGAATTTAACCGTCAGAGACAGGCCTCAGGAGGCCGAGATGGATTTGACCGTGAAAGGTCCGCCCCGGCACACACCGATCTCAACATTATTTCACCAATTGCCTCAACAAGAACTTAGTCCTCCGCAAAATGTCGACGAACCTCTAGACGTTACACTCAATACCAACAAAAATAATTAAAGCGCTAATAATACTACTTCTGATCGGTTCTTCATTACTAAATTCCTTTAATGTTATTTATTTATTTTCACATTCAGGAAGATTAACCCCTTGCCCTATGATTTATTTCTTATGAACCATGATCGATACAACTGTCACGGATAGTTTGTTAGGAAGACAAAATCCTGAAGCTTATTCTATGTTTACACCGATTGTTAACGATTGGTAATAGAGAAATGATATTTAATTTATATTTTTCTAAGATAACACTTGGGTTTCCCAAATTCAGTTTGAAATTCTCGTCACGAGTCTGACACGATATTGTAGGTCAAGGGGTTAAGTGCGAGAGACACCATTATACGAAATAGAGAAAGCATTGTTCAACGTGTGTACCACATAAGCATACAAATAAAACTTTCATTAGAAATCGAAGAATGTAGTTGATAGATTGTTGCACGTAACGTGGCGAGCTATTTCGTGCCGCTTTATTTTCTATTGTATCCGAAAACTCGATCTCCCGAGTTCAAGCGTTGAATGTGTTCAGAACGTTCTCACGAGAGCCTCGACTATTCAAAACGGTTTGCCTAAATGTAAAGCACATTTTCTTTTTAACGATGTTTTCGACCGTTCTCTCCTCAAGAAGTAGTTCCACCTGATAGTTTAACTTAAAATAATTATGTAAGTACACATCGGGAAGTTAGTGAAATTTTATCTTTGTGTATTGCGTACCTTTGATTGATTTCAAGTCACATGCAATAAATTTTATTGACAAATATACGATTGTCGTTTGAACTGTAGGATCTGAGCTAATAGTTTAATTTTATGCACCTAATGATTTGGAATGTTTTTTTATGTTACCTTATATTTACTATCTTATCATGTCCAATAAGATTAATTATTCCTCAATCCTCGAATAGACAAACGACTAGATATCTATTGATTTTTAGATAATCTATTTTGTTTTTGACTGAAAATATTATAGGTTGACAGTACATAATTGAACAATGACGAAATCAAAATTCAATCATATTATAACTGTTTTTTTTTATTAACATATAAGAAGTACAAGCAGCACCCTGTACTTAAGAAACAGTTTTACTTAAGAAACTTAAGTAAAAAAATGTGTAAATATATATCAACAAATGTTGTACAATTTTTGTTTGACATTAATAATTATTATTGTTGCAAGATACACAAAACCTCCCTGTTCCTTTTTAATTAAGAACTATAACCTTATGATAATTACAATAGAGAAAAGTACATTTTTTACACAATAAGAATTGTTCAATTGACTTTCTGATTCTTCTCCTTAGTATAGTGAAAATGCTATGTAATAATTTAACAAATTCATTCATCACCATATTTATAATGACACTACAAACCCTGTCAGATCATGGAATTTTTGTAACTTCTCATTTACTCATTAGTCCCTTCACTTAAAATTTAGTACTTATAGCTAACTTAAATTACAATATAAATTTTATTTAATATACCATCAAATTCAATAAGGATTTCATTAGGTTTACACTATTCTATTTGTAAAGTTATATAAGATAGACAAAACACTTTGGTATAATAACATTACAATAATAAAAATACATGTTAGACTCAACAGATTTGTTACATATTCTAATTAAATTCGTCTACTTAACAGATCTAGATACTCTTCATAAAATTGTGTATCTTTAAAATAAGGAAAACCAACTTACAGTTTCTGTTATTCATAGGCCCTGAAAAGCCAATGGCATGTGCATCCTAAATTATCAAGTTTACCATCTTTCATCTAGTAAAAATGATTAGGCCCAGTCTCATATTAAAATGTCTTTACACTAATAGTTATATTAATGTTAGTTCAGTCTCATTTGAATCATTGTTTTATAGTTTTCATATTTTACAAAGGTATACAAAAACTCCTGAAAACATAAATATGTATGATACTTCATTATAATATTAAATCATATAAAATTATACTGAAATTGAAATTTTTACTTGGAGAAGTCGTTGCTTTTTTCTATAATATGTTCAAATTCTGCAAAACTTAATGCACCATCATCATCCAAATCGGCTTCATCAAGTATGGATTGAAGAACTTGTTGCATATCTGTTTCATTTAATCTTTGAGGAGCAGTAAGTCTATCTACTACTTGTCTCAAATCTCCAATACCAAGCATATCATCACCATCAAAATCTGTATATAATATATACTATATGAATAAATGTTTCACGCTGAAAGTATGTGCAAATGAGACTTATCACTTCAATTCAAGGAGTTAATTACACATTATACAGCTAAGTACTAAGCATTACCAAATATTCTAAATGCATGTTCCGCCTTAACTGCTTTTGGAGCTGCATCACTAAATACTGACATCATATCCAAAAAATCTTCAAAGGTACAATCTCCGTCTTGACTAGAACTAAAGACTTTGCAAATCCTATCTCCGAAAGGATTTACTTTTAATTCAGGATACTGTAAGATTTTTGACATTGGAAGTTTGGCATTTCTATTGTGGCCAACTTTTTCTGGAGCAAGGGCCTTAAACTTATGATGTGCACTATGTCAAATAAAAATCATTTTTGTAGTAATGCTACTTAATATAATATTAAAATCATTCTATTTTTTGGTTCGTTTCTAATTCCTTTATCCTCTTTACATAAAATTATAAAAGTATTTATATCCATTAAAAGATGAAATAAAAATTACATGAAACATAATATTTCTATTTCAGTTACATTATTTACATATTAAAAATTAGAAATTTGTAAAGATACTCACTGCAAAACTTCTTTTTTCGTGAAATAGGTCAAATCCTGTAACGTTAAACAATTTTAAACAAAATTCATATAAAATATTTACAATTGTATTAAATACCTGATAATCTTGAAGTTCTTCTTCAGTAAATTGACTTTTACCTATACCCATTTTTGTTACTCTGAGTATTATTTTACAATTTTGAAATTACTTTATGACACCATGATATTTTCTTTAAAAACATGACATTTATATCATAAACGATATTCTTGGTTTCGCGCTTAACGAAATCGATAATGTCAGATGTATCTACTATCTGCAGATAAAATTTAGATAACATCTGTGAACAAGTTTATAAATATTTATTGGTATTCTTTTTGCTTGTAATAATTTACGTATAAAAAATTACACAGAAACATGTATGAAAATGTAAATAATTTTCGAATAATAAATATAACTACTTCACATGCAAAAACAATTTTTACTGTAGTAAGAAAGAAATAAATATATGTTTGAAAAAGCATTTATAATGATATTTATTTGTAGTTCTTGATTATTTTTTATATTATATTCATGCAATAATCGAAGAAATTTTATTAAAGGCGCGCTTACATTTTATCTTTATCTTTATCTTACTAAAGTGCCGAATAATATGTATCCACCATAAAAACTTGACTTGTAACGGCATCTATAAGAAGATAATATTTATAACCATAGTTTAATAGATGACATTTAAGTAAAATTCTAAATTAGTGCATAGTACAGTGCATAAAACCAATTATACGAAGTTTCATTCAAGAATTCACGTAACCTTCAAGAATTTCGTGTTAAAATATTCACTGACCGTCTCTAAGTGTAGTGACACAAACACTGAATACGATAAAACGCATATTAACAATTGGCTTATGGTAATCTATGAATTTTGTTTATTCGTAGGTCAATTATCAATTCGTTTAGTACATTTTAGTCAATTAAATTATATTGTTTTAGTTCCTGAACACGCTGGAATCTAGGTTAGCGGCCGATTTGTACGAGGAATATATTTTGCTATGGTTCAACAATATAAGTCACCTGTTCGGGTGTATAAACATCCATTTCCACTTGTCATGATGGTGCGTTTGTTCATGTTATTTTCTTATTTTAATAATAATATTTGACATGCACCTTTATTTTTACTTGAATTTTGTTTCAATATTCATCTTCCTATTATTTATGTGTAGTTAAACGTACACATGATTAAACAAATTCGTATTGCTGGAAACCTTGTAATTGGAATTGTAGAGAGCATAAATTTAATTATTTTATATTTATACTTTTTTATAATTTTGGAAGCAGCATAGACGTACAAAGTCCTAATTATATGAAAACTGACTGTATTTATCATATAATAATATATCAAACTTGTGACATAAATACTTAAAAATATTAGTGACATTAAGCTTTTAGTTATAATACTTATTAATCCTGTTAGCTACAAATACTTTTGCAATGTGCATATGTCATAAAAATCATATTTATCACAAAGTTTAACAGAATTATGTGGGTACATCTATAGGTCATAGCAAATGAGTCCCAAGCGTAGGTTCTCTCATGTATGGAATGCATTTTTTTACATACATCAAGGAGATTTGAAAATTACTTAATTATTTTAACAGACTCATGTGTCCCTCACTATGCATAATTGACTTAATGAAACAATAAAAATTTCATAAAATCAAACATGGTTATAAACAGATAAAAATTATAATATTATTTTAATTACATTTACTTTCAGTATTTTACTTTTAACATTTTACTTCTTTTAACTTACGAACATTTTGTAATTGGGAGCAGTTTATAGCTTTTATTATGTTTGTAATATTAAGAACACGTTGGAGGAATTTTAGGAATATTTCATTTATATTTTGAATAATGCATAGATTGATTTCTTAACTCATAGACTATACTTTTTGCAGATTGGAAAACATATCGTCTACTTTGGAAAGTTGTGCAATTTATACTAAAGACAAATTGAACAAAAATAGAAGATAGCATTGTAGCAAATGCTAATTTAATCTCAGTTATAAGAATCAAGTTGTATATTAGAGACCTGTATCAATTGATTTAAATTACTGTTGCTTTTGCATTTGGTGTATTACTTTATATAGAGAATTACATATAACAGAACTTGTATCTTTCATTGGATACACTGGAGAAATAAATCAGTATAACATATATAATCAATCAAATAATACTTTCTAACATTTGACAAGTATTCCTTATTGATATCCACCATTTAATAGTTTGTATGACATTCCGGAAGAGTATTTTATCAATATCAATTTTTTTAAAGTTTATGTGTAATGTCAAATGTGCATAATCTCTGAACAAACATCAATACTCACTGGAAGACATACAACTCGATATGAATCTTGTGAAGCAAGTACTACATGAAGATATTACCCCAGAATATCCATATTTGAAGATGAAATTTAATGTGAGAAGTGGGTACAACAAAGAAATTTTATAATGT